ACTGTAGTTTCATAGGAGTATAAACAGAGCTAAAAACATCATCATATGAAAGTTATTTGTACCCCCATGGTTATTGTAGCTCAGTTCACAATAGCTAAGATATGAAATCAACCCAGATGTTCATCAGCTGATGTCTGGATAAAGAAAATGTATATACCCCATGGAATACCATTCAGCCATAAAAAAAAGAATGAAATCCTGTCTTTTGCAACAAAGTGAATGCAACTGGAAACCATTATGTGTAGTGAAATAAGCCAGTCCCAAAAAATTAAATCTGTTTTCTCTGATATGTGATAGTTAATATAGACTACAAAAATGTATAGAAATGAAACAGACATCCTGGGGCCGGCGCTTTGGTGCAGTGGGTTAACGCCCTCGCCTGAAGCGCCGGCATCTCATGTGGGCACCAGTTTGAGACTCGGCTGCTCCACTTCTGATCCAGTTCTCTGCTATGGCCTGGGAAAGCAGTAGAAGATGGCCCAAGTCCTTGGGCACCTGCACCCACGTGGGAGAACCGGAGGAGGCTCCTGGCTTCGGATTGGCACAGCTCCATCCTGGCTTCGGATCAGCACAGCTCCACTGTTGCGGCAAATTGGGGAGTGAACCATCGGATGGAAGACCTCTCTCGCTCTCTCTGCCTCTCCTCTCTCTGTGTAACTCTGACTTTCAAATAATAATTAAATCTTTAAAAAAAAATGAATGACGTCTTAATGCATTTTTGTGTATTTTCAAACTATAGTGGCTTTTTGGGGGGCATAACCCATCATAAGTTGAGGAACATCTGTAGTAGAATTTTTTTAATCTCAAACATTTTTCTATGATTAATAATCTTGATATATTCATAACTCCCTGGCACATTTTCCTGGATAACCCAAAATTGTAGAATATAGGTTCTTCAGGGTCTCCTACGTGGGTGAGGGGCCCAAGGACTTGAGCTATCTTTCACTGCTATCCCAGGCCATAGCAGAGAGCTGGATCAGAAGTAAAGCAGCTGGGACTCGAACCAGTGCCCATATTGGATGCCTGCATTGCCACAGCACTGGCCCCAGAGACTGTAAGTGTTTTAACTGGTGTCTTAACTGCTGGGCCAAACACTTACCCTTTATATAATATTTTAAAAAATTTTGTACATGAGAAAAAGTTTCATGGTATGAAATTTTCCACTTGTGTCATGTCAGCACTCAAAACATTTCTGATTTTGGATTTCAAATTTTTGGCTTAGGAATGCCTAACCTGTGTTGTGATATCAAAGCTGAAATGCATCAGAGGGTTTACAGGCTAAGGTGGTAGGAACCTGTCTTACAATTCAAAGATTTTGAGACTCAGCATTGTAGTGGGGTTGTGTATGTGTGTTCAGACTTTTTAAAATGTTTTCCCAAACCATGTAATATTTGAAGAGTCCAAATTAATTAAGCACAAGAGGTAGACAGTTCGGGATCTGTCTTATTTTACTGATTCTTTCAGTAAATTATTAGACTGGAAGTTTCACCAACCTTTTAACTTCTCTATCTTGAAGGATATTGAGGGTAAACTGTATAAAAAGTGGAAACATTGTGTTATTTTCTCTTGTAAAACTATGTTTTATTTATCAAATGACAATTTCTGTCTTATAGTGTCCTGCCTAATATGAGCTCTCTTAATCATAATCTCTTTAATTAGGGTTTAAACTATCCTTTTTAAAAAAAAAAAAAAAAAAAAGCTCTTGATACACATGTGGTTTTTCTTTTCTAATTGTTTAATTTGAGACCAGCATCTTCTTCTTCAGCAGAGTCAGCTGCGTGAGAAGCAGTCATCTCACGAATAGTGAAATGATTACGTTCAATGGGCTCAGGAGGGCCATCCTCATGGTACAGGTTAGGCTGTTGCCTATGACGCCAGTAAGCCATATGCACATCAGTTCGAGTCCCAGCTGCTCTACTTCCTATCCAGCTACCTGCTAATGTGCCTGGGACAACAGCAGAAGATGGCCCCACTACTTGGACCACCCATGTGGGAGACCTGGATGTTCCAGGCGCCTGGTCCACGTGCAGACATTTGGGGAGTGAACTAGTGGAGAGAAGGTCTCTCTTTCTCTCTTTCTCTGTCACTCTGGCTTTCAAGTATATGAAATAAATCGTTAAGTAAATGGGCTCAGGCCTGTAAATCATCTCTCACAGTGGCTGGATCATAACATTTGCCTGAAGCATAAGATATGCTCAGTAAATGCAAATTCTTCCCTTCACCTTTAGATATTTGTTTATTTATTTAATTTGAAAGAAAAAGAGAGACCTTCCATCCACTGATTGACTCTCCAGATGCTCACAAGAGGGATTGAGCCAGGCCAAAGCAAGAGACCCAGACCTCCATCCAGGTCTCCATTGAGGTCTTCATGTGGTTGGCAGAACTCAAGTACTTCAGTCAACATTTGTTGCCTCTGGGAACGTGCATTGAATGAGACCATTTGCTAAGGTGATTGCTACAACCTCTGTAAGTACTTTGGATCTTTAGGAAGAGTGTAAAGATCAGATAGACAGAGGCTTCCTGAGAAGAGACATGCACCAGGCGGACAGACACTGTCACACTGGGTGTTTCTCATGGCAGAAGGAACTGCCCTTAGTCATTCTGTGTCACTGTCACAGATGTCTGTTTAGATCACATACAACAGACAGAATCAGTGAGGCAAAGACTGGATTCATAGTGGATCACCACATTTACCCTATTCTGATTTATGCCATATGTTCTAGAAATGCAGCAGTGAAGGGAAAAGCCAGCTGTTACTTCCATTAGGAGAAGAAGCTGGGGTGATAGTATATCCCAATTTCCCTGGCAAATTATTTGGTCAGGTTAGTCAGTTGCAAAACAGGTACTAAGAAACTGGAGGATAAAGCGAGGGGGCATGACCTGATCTGGGAGAGAACAGAAGAAACTTTTCTGAGGAATCAGGAGGAAGTTTTACTGAAAGAGGGTCGAGCTCTCACTGGCCTCGGGGTCTTTGCACTTGGCCTTCCTTACCTCTTCCTGGAAGAGCACATGGCCCCATCTCTTGCACCCTCACCTCTTGTGAAGTAGCACAGCGTTCACATGGTAATAATTTGTGATTCGTAAAAATTAATTTAGTGAGTAGTAATCTGGTTAAAACATATCAAGAGTACATTGTGCATGGTAAAGATAAATATGAAATAAAACTGATTTATGTTTGTGTATATGTAATTGTTCACAATCTAAGTTGTATTTCTTTTTTATGTTTTTAAAGATTTATTTATTTATTTGAAAGGCAGAGAGTTACAGAGAGGCAGAGACAGAAAAAGAGAGAGAGAGAGAGGTCTTCTATCTGCTGGTTCACTGTTCAAATGGATTCAACGGCTGGAGCTGCACTGATCCTAAGCCAGGAGCTTCTTCCAGGTCTCCCACAGGGGTGTAGGAGCCCAAGCACTTGGGCCATCTTCCACTGCTTTCCCAGGCCATAGCAGAGAGCTGGATTGGAAGTGGAGCAGCCGGGACTCAAACCTGCACCCATATGGGATGCTGGCACTGCAGGCAGCAGCTTTACCAGCTATGCCCCATGGCACCGGCCCTGATGACCTTGGTTCCTTGTCTCACATGGAAGAAGATTTTCCAAGTGGACAGGCAGAGACATTTAAAAGCAAGATTTATTTATTTAATTTTTAACTTTTATTTGACGAATATAAATTTCCAAAGTACAGTTAATGGATTACAGTGGCTTCCCCCCCATAACTTCCCTCCCACCCGCAACCCTCCCCTCTCCCGCTCCCTCTCCCATTCCATTCACATCAAGATTCATTTTTAATTATCTTTATATACAGAAGATCAATTTAGCAAAGTAAAGCTTTCAACAGTTTGTACCCACACAGAAATACAAAGTGTAACATACTGTTTGAGTACTAGTTATAGCATTAAATCACAATGTACAGCACATTAAGGACAGAGATCCTACATGAGGAGTAAGTGCACAGTGACTCTTGTTGACTTAACAAATTGACACTGTTGTTTATGGCATCAGTAATCACCCTAGGCTCTAGTCATGAGTTTAAAAGCAAGATTTATTAAGGTCAGAGACCTCCAGCAGAGCCACAGGGAGAGGGGCTGCAAGAGAAGAAGCACCCTGAATTGCATTTCTCACTGTGGGTTATGGACAAATAGTTTTAACATCATTTTGTGGAGGACAAGTAGAAATGAAACTGCAATGCTGTTTTGATGTCTTCATAATGTCAGTTGTGTTTTCAATTATGTATTTAATATACAAAGAAAAGGAAAAGGAAAGGAATGTAACTTACGTTGAGAAGGGCCTTGAAGGTCTTTTATGGATTGGAGGTTGTATCTGAAGATAAAAGGAAAGTGAGTGAAGTGTTAGATGTTTCTTACTTGGCCATCGTTTTATTTTCAGCACAACAAAATAGTAAAATATGAAGGGAATTTGGGAACTAGGATTAAATAAGGACTGTCTGATAAAGCTATATTCCTTCAATAAATATTTATTGATTATGTGCTATGTTTCAGATTTGCATTTATAGCCTTATTGTTCCCTGCAAAAATAGGTTTAACACCTTTTGGAATGTACTGTGGGTGGTAAATAGTTTATGCTATGTACACATTTAATCCATGTTTAAGTGACTTCTGTTTTTAACTTTGGCTTCTTTAGGACAATACCCTGAAAAGAGGATGCCTTGTTTTGATGATAGGGCTGCTCCTACAATTACCACAATGATCACTTAAGAAAGGATTATAGTTATTTTAATTTCTCTGTATTTGAAAAGAAGGTAGCTACTGCTCTCATCTGGAGCAAAGAAATCAAAACAACCAGCAGGCTGTTTCCATAGGAGAATGTGATGTTGATATAATTCTGAAATGGTGAAATTATATCAGAATTTTTAAAAAGCCAACATGGACTTCTCCATCCCTGCTTCCCCTGCCCTAGAATGTAACTTTGCCTGGCCCCATTGTTTCCTTTCAACCGGCAATACCACCCCTCCTGATTGCTGCCAATCTCCATCCCACTTCAGGTTTCACCACCCGATCCTCAGTCCGTTGGAGAGCAGCTTTCAGCTGGAGGTCGATGTCCTGAGCCATCTGCTGAAGGCCCAGGCCCAGGTCTCGGAGTGGAAGTTCCTCCCGTCTCTCGTTAATCTCCACAGCGCTCACACCAAGCTGCAGACCTGGGGCCAGATCTTTGAAAAACAGCGGGAGACCAAGAAGCATCTGTTCGGAGGGCAGTCTCAGAAGGCAGTTCAGCCCCCACACCTCTTCCTCTGGCTGATGAAACTCAAAAACATGCTGCTGGCCAAGTTTAGCTTTTACTTCCACGAGGCGCTGAGCCGGCAAACGACTGCTTCAGAAATGAAAACGTTGACTGCCAAAGCCAACCCCGACCTCTTTGGAAAGATTTCCAGCTTCATCAGGAAATATGACGCTGCCAATGTGTCCTTAATTTTTGACAACCGAGGTTCCGAGAGCTTTCAGGGTCATGGCTATCACCACCCCCACTCGTACAGAGAGGCCCCGAAGGGTGTGGACCAGTATCCAGCTGTGGTGTCTCTGCCCAGTGATAGGCCGGTCATGCACTGGCCCAATGTCATCATGATCATGACTGACCGCACGGCCGACCTGAACAGCCTGGAGAAAGTGGTCCACTTCTACGATGACAAAGTTCAGAGCACCTACTTCCTAACCCGCCCAGAGCCTCACTTCACCATCGTCGTCATTTTTGAGTCAAAGAAATCTGAGAGAGACTCCCACTTTATTTCCTTCCTCAATGAACTCTCACTTGCCCTTAAGAACCCCAAAGTTTTTGCCAGTTTGAAGCCTGGATCCAAAGGATGACAGTGGTTTTGTGTGAGAGGTTTTTCAAGACTGTGATTTTGTTCTTAATTGCTCTAATGATCTGCAGTGGCCTGTGATTAGGGTTTATATCCCTTCATGCTTCTCTCAGAGCTAAATTAAAGACAAAGCCTCCCTAATTGTGTTGCACACTTTTGAATTAAGTATCCAAAGAGTAATCTAGGAAGTGACCACAGGCTACTGTGCATCTCCCATGGTACTGCAGCATAGCTTCAGTATTTTCTCCTGTTTTCCTGTAATATATGTCTATTACGTATTTATTGAGCTTTGCTTTTTCTTTCCAGATATTTTTAATTGTTCTAAACATTGTGTTTTAGTGCAATTTGAAGCACCTTCTCTCCCTTCTTCTTGGAATAATAATTGGGATCAGATATTAAATGGCCTTTTTCGGATGAAAGACTACATGTTTGTTATCTCAGATTAGTACGTCAATATGGAATTACTAGTTTTATGATTCTGACCTACGTGTTAATATTGGTGATGCTCAAACAGGGTCCTGGTAAGGAAGTCCTTTGAGCTACAAAAATGGAAGGTGAATCAGATCAGTAGCATAAGACCTACACGGGTGACTGCACACCTGACTGCGTTTGTTTTTACCCGTATGGAGTTTGGATTTTTCGTTGTTTTAAAGTCAGCATAAGCCATCGTATGCATTTTCTTCTGTCCTCAGCATACTGCCTGCGTGGCTTTGTGTTGATCAGTTTTCTGCTGAAATGTATGTTCATGTTTGCCTCCTCTCCCTCCCTGGTTATTTTAGGCTCGGAAACTGTGCAGTCTTGGTTTTTCAGCCACTTTGAGATTCTCGTGCAATGAAACCTACTTTTACAAAAGCAAAATGAAGGGCTTGATAAAAATCAATGTGTGCATTCAGAAGACCTCTTCATAGCTGAGAAATCAACTGAGTGCTTAAGCACACCTGAACGTGGGTTTCCTGCCTGCCTCCCTTGCGTTAGGTTTAGAAGCAGTGCTGCATTTGGTACATGCTGCCTCAGCGCCTTCCTTCAGCAGGAGCTAATGGGGACGTAGGGGGATCAGAGAAGGCATAATGGGCTGTGGAGACGTTACTTCTGTGTTACTGATTCAGAATAAAGAAGCCAGAGAGAGTAATTGGGTTGTTACTCCTTGACAGTTCCTTCATAGCTTGTATGAAATGTAACGGTCAGATCAGTCTTGTGTCTCATGATTGTACAGAGCACTGTTTCACTGGGCGTCCACAGCAGGCGTGCCAGTGACGCTAGAAGAGCCCAGACTGCCCTGCCTGTCCGTCGGGACTGCCTGGTAGAGGAACCCATCGGCCTGCTTTCTGGGGGAACATGTGTATTTCTGTCCATCTGTCCCTTCTTTCATCCCTCCTTTTCTGTTTTTCAATAAAGGTCATATGATTTGTAAAAAGCCCGTTTTTTTTTTTTTTTTCCTAAATAGAAAGTAGCAATTTACATTTTATTCATTCAGGTTCTGTAAAAATCTGAAGAGATTTTACAACATTGACCTTACATAAGCAAATTGAAGACAATTGGAACTAAAAAGTCAAATTACTTTTCCTTTTGTGTTTTGCAAAAAGAAAAAAAATGAAGAGTATTCTTAGATTGCATATATTTTTTCCTAGATAAAACCACCAGTAGCATTAATGATAAGGTCCCCCATGGGCCTTAAAGAACTTATGCTTCAGTGGAACGCAGCGAGGGTATAAATAAAACATATCTGCAGTATCTAAGTAAGCAAATAGGCACATGTTCAAATTGTGTATTTATTTTTAAACATTTTAATCATAAAAGGAATTTACAAAGAACAGAACACATGTGAATATTAAATCTAAACATATTCATAAATCACTATGCAGCTGTCAGAGTATACTGGAGAAGTTCTTAAATATTCAATATTGATACTTTAATCCTAAACTCTTCAATGAAGTTTTCTAGTTATAAAAATACTCCATATTTTGTTAAAACAAAAAATAGATTTTTACTCTTAAGATTTATCCTCTAAGTACAAGAATGATACAATCTGTAATGTCTCTGTTTGGCTCATTGGAAGAGTAAATCTGCATATTTTCTGCAGAATGCTTACTTTGAAATTTATTTCTAAACCACAAGTTGATAAATTTTTATGGGTAGCTGGAAACATGGTCAACATAGCCCGCCAAGGAGGCCGGAAAGGAGTGTTTCATATTAGGATGAGCTTTTCCAACTTTGTCCTCTGTTGGGTCCAGTCTGATAATCTGACTGTGTCATTTTAGGGAGTGTGTGAAAATAAAACCTGATTCTTAACTGAGGAGCCAATGCCCTTTATAAAATTCCTTTTGTGCTTTTGGACATGTTGGGAGAAAGTCACTTGCAGGAAAGAATCGTTGGTGCTGCTGTCCCAGTGGGCGGTGTTTAACACACATCCACCCTTTGGACCGGGCTGCAGACCTGCAGTTTTGTTCCCTTGGCAAGTCAGCCTCTGAGCTCAACTTCTCTGTCTGTGAACTGGGAATGCCCAGAAAACGTGGGGTGCCTTTTTCAAAGGATAGCAGAAGGCTGGAATGAGATCACGCCCTTGAAAAGGGCTTTGCAGACCTACTGAAGTTTGAAAGCTATGCAAAGATGGGCCACCCTTCCCTTAAACGCCTCCTGTTCTCTCCAAGTCCGTGGCAAACCTGTGCTTAGTCATTAAGTTTGATGACTACTCAACAAACCGGGACAGAAGAGGAGACAGATAAATGCCTAACCAACACACACCCCCTCTCCCTATTTTAGAATCTTTGTGGTTCTTTGTTCCAGAGGTTTCACGGTTACTTGGTAGTATCATCTCAGTCCTTCCATATTACTGAATTTTGGAGTTAACATCTCCCACTATGACTGTGGGCATGTGTCTTTCTTCCTTTGTTAGTTTTTCCACCCTGTTCTGTGGAGCCCTTTTATGAGGCCTAAATTTCTATTTTTTGCTGTCTTTCCATGTATTCACTCATCACAGTAAAATTTCCTGCTTTATCTCTAAGAGTCTGCTTGGAAGTCCATTTTGCCTCTACTTGGCCATGGCCGTGCTAGCTTGCTGAGCTTATGTTTGCTTACAATGTCTTTTTCCATTTTCTCACTTTACCCCTCCTTGTACCTTTGTATTTAAAGTGTCTGCAGTAAGAACTGAAAAGGGATTGAAAGGGCGACCGTCTCAGCCTTTTGATTGGAGTGTTTAGCTCATTTCTCGTAGGTTTTACAGCAGGATTTTGATGACTGTGTCCTTGAACTTTCACTTAACATGGTTTTTGCTTTTTTTCCTCCTTTCATACTGGGAGTTAGAGCAAGAGGCTTCATCAGATTCAGTATTTCTTTTGGTAATGCAGTACTGTGTTTCTTATTAGAAGGCAGCTAGTATCTGGCATTGCCTACATAGGTTATATCATTATAGGTTACAAAATGGTGAAATCCTAATTATCGCTTTGTCATTTGTGGGCCCAGAACAACACACCTGTGATGAGAAACGTACCCTTCAACTACTTGATGCATATAGGAATGATGGGGTAAATCCTTGATGCTTTTGCCTCTTTAAAGCCTGTTTTTAAAGAAGTGTGTATCCGTTTGTAAGGATTTCTGCCTCTTGGGTTAACTTTGAAGCAAAGCAGCCATTTCGCCCCCTTACCACAGGATACTTTTCTGTAAATGTTATGACCTTCCCTCATTTCTTCCTCCTCACAGTTTCTCTCTCTCTCTCTTTCTCTCTCTCTCTCATTAAAGATTTTTATTTATTTGAGGGGTAGAGTTACAGACAGAGGGAGAGACAGGCAGGTCTTCCATCTGCTGGTTCATTCCCCAGATGGTGGCAAAGGCCAGAGCTGACCCCTATCCAAAGCCAGGATCTTCTTCTGGGTCTCCCACGCAGGTGCAGGGCCCATCTTCTACTGCTTTCCCAGGCCACAGCAGAGAGCTGGAGTTTCTCTTACTGTTTCCTCTTCCTTCCTCCAACCGCTCCCCGCATTTCCTTTCTTTCCCTCCCGTCTTTTCGTTCCTGGTATCTTCCTCACCAGTTCCACTTTAGTCATTCCTCATGCCTCTGTCCAGAAGACCCCAGTGGTTCTGACCGAGTTTTGAAAAGCAGCATCATTTTAGTAGCTTTTACAACCAGGTGGTCTTTTTCACGTAGTAAGGAAGGAATACATTCAGGGGAACAATTTGATGTTACACTTGGGAACTAGCCACTTTGTGAACATACAGAACTGTTGTGGATTAGACAAGGCTGGGCTCCTAAAACTCATACAGACTTTTGGACCCCACACAGTGGATTAGTGTTGACAGTGGATTAGGATGCAGGGGTCTGCAGCGGGCCTTTGGGAAGTGCCTGGATTGATTAGGTTGCTAGGGTGGAGCCCCGTGGGCAGATCGAGCTGGCTCTATAGAGACTTCCCAGAGTGCAGAGGAAGCGAGTTTCCCAGGTCTCTCCTTCCTGGCTCACCATTGGCTGGGGTCCCCAGAGGCCGGACTGCTGAGGTTGCCCTGTCTTGAACTGTGAACCACCAAACCGTAAGTCAAACCTTTTCCGAGAAGCCCCGGTCGGCTTTTGTTGAAAGCAACAAAAAGCTAACTAACAGAAATGACCCTCAACTAACTACAGCCAGGCAGAACTGTATGTATGAAAGAGACCATTTGGCTGAAAAACGTACTTTGAAACTAAAATGTTTGCAAGTACATTTTTATTATGTAACTTATTAAGCAAAAGATCACTTGTAATTTATTCTAATTAGGGAGTGTATGAAAGCATTAAATTAGCTTCTGATTTCTTTAAGTAAAAGTATAAAAAAATAGCTTTTATTTCTTCTTCTTCCTGAGGGGAAAAAGTGCCGCCAGAACTCCAAGAAAGCCCTGTAGGTAGAAGTTAATTTGGCAATCCCCACTCTACTTTTCTACCAGGTTCCTATTACTAATGCAATTATCCCATGGCCGTTTGCCTGAATTATTCTAAACTGCTTCTCCATAGGAGAGGAGTCAGAAGAAAGGGACCTGATGTGTGCTTCTGGCTTTGGAGATTCTTATGTAAATCCATAAGGCTTCCTTAATGCACTGTGTCTGGACTTGTCTGCAGGTTTCTTCGATCTGCTTTCGATGACCACGTCTGTTTCTAGGGTGCTTTAAGACCATGTGGAATGAGTAAAATTTCGACACTTGAGATGGAGAGAGGCGAAGGGGTTTGCTTTCTGTGGCCCCCTTCTGATGTGGGGAGGCTACTGCACCGTGTAGTGTGTTCTGCTTAGCTGTGCAGTGGCAATCGCAGGGAAATGGAGAGTGCCACTTGACATCGTCCTAGGAGACTTTGGGACTTCAGCTAACTTTATCCCCAGTGTTGTGTCTGAGCCAGTGCAAACAGAGGAGCACCACACATTGATAAAATTTGAGGGTCCTTTATTGCCAGGCGGTGGAGAGCGGGCTCATGCCCTAAAGAACTCTTGACCCCCAAGTTCAAAGCAATGAGGTTTATAAAAGCAAAAGCCACAAGGAGAGGGGTGGGTATCCATGGTTAATAGAGTCAAGCTGACGTAAAGCATATGGGACACTGATATCAGTTACCATGTTGATAATACCAACTATAGTCTTGACGTTATTCCAAGTGTCAACCTAAATCCTATGTGGGATGCAGACAAATTAGAATCCTAACATGAATCCAGGTGCATCCTATCTGTTTGAAGATTGAACAATCATGCTAAGGAGTTTCTATGCTCTACCAAGTGGGATGCAGTGTGCTGTTATTGTGTTAAGTTTTAGACCATAGTTAGTTTCAGACCATAGTCTCACGATGTGTGTGTGTGTAGATGCTTTCCCAAGAATGGCGTCTATGGGCCGGCACCGCGGCTCAATAGGCTAATCCTCCACCTAGCGGCGCCGGCACATCGGGTTCTAGTCCCGGTCGGGGCACCGGATTCTGTCCCAGTTGCCCCTCTTCCAGTCCAGCTCTCTACTGTGGCCCAGGAGTGCAGTGGAGGATGGCCCAAGTGCTTGGGCCCTGCACCCCATGGGAGACCAGGATAAGTACCTGGCTCCTAACTCCTGCCTTCGGATAGGTGCCGTGCACCGGCCGCAGCACGCTGGCCGCGGTGGCCATTGGAGGGTGAACCAACGGCAAAAGGAAGACCTTTCTCTCTCTCTCACTGTCCACTCTGCCTGTTTAAAAAAAAAAATGGAGTCTATGGTGATCTAAAATGGAGTCCCTACTGTCAAGGTGCCCCTTCACTAGGGGGTGAATTTTACACTTGTTGCTCTTAGAAACTTTAGCATAAATATAGACTCCAGGTAAATCTGAAAATCTGATGCCTGATTTGTCTGGGATTTATGACTCACGTGAATGACTTCCTAGGTTAGGTCTAGTTTCATTTCAAGTTTAATGTGACAAGATATGGCAGTGCAGGATACTCCTCACCCCACAGGGAAGGTCTCTGTCTCTCCATTTAGGCCAGTGTTGGAGCAGAAGCAGGTAGAGGACACCCATGACTTTATAGTATTCAACTTAACAACTGTTAAACATCAATCATACTAAGGGTGGTGATGTTATAGTCAACCAAGAACAACATGGTGCCTGCTTGGTTGGTGCTTCTAATGGGGAGAGCTGGATCCAAGCAGCCAGGAGCTGAGAGTGCTCCTCTAACCAATAAGGTAATGAATAGTCTTCAGACTGGTTTTGCTTGCATTCTTCCTTCCAAATTTCAGAAAAATTATGATATTCTGATGAATTTTTTAAAAAGAAAAAAATCATCATTAACATTATTTTCAAATAGCCTCAAAGGATGTATTTGAGTATGTATTGTAAATATTGATGTTTAAAATGAAAATGTTAATTGCTCTTTTAAATGTATCCAATAAAATCTTGGTATAATAGGGACTTGGTAGCTACCATTTGCCATATTTACAAATGCCTTAATGAGCTCTGTAACAGTTGGAGATATTTTGAATGAATTCTTTTGCTTCTTGAATTCCATTTTACTGATTTCAGTTTTATACTATGATGATTTTTTGTTTGAAAATTTTATTGATCTCACCACTACCTACTTCTCAGCATATTATATACAAGGATATTTCAAGAAAAAATGATGGAAAATTGAACTAGGAAACGTTTATTTTGGTGCAAAGCAATTTGAAATCCATGCATATGATGGTCTTTTAAAAGTTGATGAAAAGTATGTATTATGAAAAAGCCATGCATGGATTTCAAAATAGTTTGCACCAAATTTTATCTTTTAATTGAATTTTCCACAAACTTTTTTGAAGTGCCTTCATTTATAGGTATGTGTATATATGTATGTAGATAAAGGTTCTTTGTCTTACTGTAGGCATTAAGAGTTTAATGATCAAATGACATATATTAAAAATGTTAATAAATACCAAACAAAAAGTTGCATTTAATTTGAAAAGCATCTTTCAATGAAATCAATATCTGTAGTGATTATGGTGACTTGGTTAAAAAAATTGTCTAAATGCCCCTTACACACTACCCACCCCATATTGAGAACTGTGAAGAGTGTGCGATTTTACCTTACTTGTTGGCTAACGAGGTAGCCTGCCACAGTTTCATAAATGCTGGCAGAAGACATAAGACAGTTATTACAGCAATTGCAGTAACTGGAACATCACCGTATTTGCATTGGTTTTCCGAGCTCTGGTTCCTAGGGGACCCATGTGGATGGTCCCAGATGGATGCTTGCTCATCACAGTGAGTTATATTTCAGGAGATGCATTCTGATTTTAGGAATCCAAAGTATTTGGTGGTCAGTGAGCTGCCTTCCACTTGGCTCTGGGGGAATCATTATTGCTTTAGACAGGAAGCATATTAGTTTCCTAGGGCTATGTTTTCCATATGTCTACTTAGCTTCTGGTGGTTTGCTGAAAGTCTTTGACCTTGTCTCAAAGTTGCAAAACTCTAATCTCTGCCTTCACCATCACATGGCATTCTCTGTGTCTTTGTGCTTACTTGGCTGTCTTCCTAGAAGGATACCAGTCATAGGAACGAAGGGCCATCCTACTCCAGTATGAGCTCATCTTAATATGACATCTGTAACAACACTATTTCCAAATGAAGTCATACTCTGGGGTCCTACAGTTAGTAATGGGGCATATTTTTGTGGGGGTAGGAGAAGCAATTCAACTCATAATAGTGAACTTGAATGTTCTTTGCTGTAGAGGGACATAAAATCTCTAAATGGAAAACCCTGTCTTCCCAGGATGCTCTCTAAACACACATCACTGATAGTCTGGAACTAAGGGTAGTCACTGGCTCATTCTCAAGACCTGCACAAACATTGAAAACCCATGGAAAAATGTCTTCTAATGTACCATAGTTAACATGGGTGAGATCCATATTTGTTTTTAGCTTGAGAAAAGGGCAGTTTTTTTTTTTTTCAGAGTTATTTGTTGCGGGGGTGGGTGGAGGGAGAACATCATCTGTTGGTTCACGCCCCAAATGGCTGCAATGGCTGGGGCTGGGCCAGGCTAAAGCCAGGAGTCTGGAGCTTCAAGTAGGTCTCCATATGGGTGCAAGGGCCCAAGGACTTGGGTTATCATCTTCTGCTTTTCTAGCACATTAGCAGGTAGCTGGATTAGAAGTAGAGCAGTCAAGATGTGGACCAGCACCCACATGGGATGCTAGCATTGTAGGCAGCAGCTTACCCTGCCACACAATACTGGCCCAGAGACAAGCAGTTATTGAAGGAGAAGGCACAAGGTGGGCATTGTGATGCAGCAGGTTAAGCTGTTACTTGGAATGCCAGCATCCCGTATCAGAGTGCTGGTTCAAATACTGGCCTCTCTCTTTCCAATCCAGCATCCTGCTTTTGTAACCTGGGAGGCAACAGATGATGGCTCAAGTGTGTAGGCCCCTGCCACCCATGGGGGGAGACATGGATGGAATTCATGAACCCTGGCTTTAGCCTGGCTCAGCTTTGGCTGTTGGTGACCATTTGGGACGTAAACCAGCAGATGGACAATCTGCCCTACTCCCTTCCCCTCCTCTTAACTCTCTCCCTCCCCTTCTGTCACTCTGCCTTTCAAATTAATTGGTTAATTGTTTTTAGAGAAAACTAAGGACGGTACAAAGAAAAAGCTGAGGCTTCTGCAAGTACCTTCACAGATTGACTTCAGGAAGAGTTAATGCGGAAGTTGAGGACTGAAAACTGATTTCCACAAAATAAGCCCCAGTCTCATGTCTGTTGGAAACTATTCCCGTGCCCCAGGTAGAAGGATCCCAGCGTGAAGTGCACTACAGCAAGGAGCCTGGAGCTGTGTCTGGGCTGCTGGTCTCTGGGAGTTGCCACATCCAGCACAGCCTTGAGGTATTCTTGGGGTTGGGATGCCTCCTGTTACATTCTCCTGAGCTTTCCATGTTGCAGCTGGGTAGAGCGGCATCATCAGAGGCGGCATCATCAGAGAGTTAAAAGAACGGTCTCTGCCGCTGCGGGGGCAGAAGCGAGAGGGAACGGGGTCCAGAACAGCAGGGTGAGGGTGCTGGGGAGTGGCGAACAGTGACTATGTACAGAGAGCATTGGTCGGCTAGGGGGCAGACGAAGGGCTGAGGCCACAGATCACTGGGGTGGGACCCTGATCTCCAGAAACAAAAGAGGGGTTTGGGATTTATGCAAGCCAGCAGGACAGGGAGTTGAGGTTTTCTTTGCGACCTCCTTTTGCACTCCCATTGGCAAGGTCTGCATGTGCCAGTTCAACTTTTTGACCAAAGCGTATGTGGCTAGATTCACATAATTCCATCGTTAGCATTTAGTACAGACATAATGACTTACTGGCACATTTTCTTCAATTTTTCTCCAATAATGTGGCCAGTTTCTGTGACACGTGATTGTGACCATCTGCTCTAGCAAGCACAGTCGTCCTTGGAGAGCTGGAGAAAGGGCTTCTTTAAGTATTTTTTCATGTTGTTTTTAGTTTGGACCAAATCTCCAGGAGCAACAATGTTAAATGTTATCAAACCTGAGCATGTCCAGCCTGGCTTGCTGTTTGAGGGATACATGGTATTGAGGAAAGGAAGAGAAATTTTTTGTCTATGTCCTCAGGAAATTAACTCCCAAGGAACTGGGAGACCTGACAGCCACTGAAGGGATACCTGGCTTAAAAACAAGCACACGCTGGTCAACCCTCAACTACCTGTAAGCAAGAAGCGTAATAACCTTGAAAAAACACCAATCACTTGACTGCTGAAAAAGAAAAATTCTTCCTATGGAAAGTCCGACATGTTTGGAAGAAATACTCAGAGAAGATACTAAGAGTGGAATTGCTCGGATCACCTCCTGGAGGGAGAATGGGCTGAGACAGGCAGGTGTCTTGGATTTGATGGAGTGGAGCCAAGACAATGGGCTCTGCCTGGTGGATTAAATAAAAGCTCGCATCACTACAAAGCAGGGCACCTGTGCCTAGAGAGAGGCCTTTCAGGTGTTAGGGTGGAGTTGCAAGGCCCCTCTTGCCTCTCCCCCTAGGAAACTCCTAGCAACTACTTGAGTAGATTGTGGAATGGACAGGAAGGGCAAAGATCACAGAGGAGGGAGAAAGGACAACTGATAGGGAAGCTGTATGTTCCTCCTGTAGCTTAAGCTATAGGAGCTGGACAGGCACTTGGGTCATGGTTAAACTACCTGTTAGGAGGCCCACATCCCACACCAGGGTGCTGGATTTGACTCCCTGCTTCAGCTCCTGACTCCAACTTGGTGCTCATGCAGACCCCAGGAAGCAGCAGGCAGTGAACTCACAGGTGGGAGTGTGCTCTCTCAGGTAAGTATCCTTTCTTTCTTTTTATTTTTATTTTTATTTTTTGACAGGCAGAGTGGACAGTGAGAGAGAGACAGAGAGAAAGGTCTTCCTTGGCCATTGGTTCACCCTCCAATGGCCGCCGCGGCCAGCGCGCTGTGGCCGGCGCACCGCGCTGATCCGATGGCAGGAGCCAGGTGCTTCTCCTGGTCTCCCATGGGGTGCAGGGCCCAAGCACTTGGGCCATCCTCCACTGCACTCCCTGGCCACAGCAGAGAGCTGGCCTGGAAGAGGGGCAACCGGGACAGAATCCGGTGCCCCGACCGGGACTAGAACCTGGTGTGCAGGCTCCGCAAGGCGGAGGATTAGCCTAGTGAGCCGCGGCGCTGGCCAAGTATCCTTTCATTAATCAACAAACGTGTCTGCCGTTGAATTGTCTGCTCAAGGCTTGCTCACTCATCACTCACTCACCATCCGTATGCAGTGATTACTTGAGGAGCCCATGTTGTGGTACAGCCAGTTAAGCAGCCACCTGCAACTCTACCATCCCATATGGGTACTGGTTTGTGTCCCGTCTACTCCACTTCTGATCCAGCTCCCTGCTAGTGCACCTGGGAGGGCAGCAGAAGACGGCCCAGGTACTTGGGTCCCTGCCACCCACACGGGAGACAGATGAAGCTCCTGGCTTCGGCCTGGGGCATGTGAACCAGCTGATGGAAGATTGATTCTCTCTTTCTCTCCAACTCTGCCTTTCAAATAAATAAATCTTCAAATGAGAAAGAAGGGGGAAATGGAAAGAAAGCCTAAATGTTATCTGTCTTTGAAGTTTTAATGTGAAGATGAACCAAACAGATGGTGCTTTGCTGCAGTCTTCTTTAAGGAAGAGTACAGTGGGAGAGCATGAAGTACGCCTGTCTTTTCCCTTTAGATCTTATGCCAATATGAGGTGTAGAGTGGATGCAGGACGAGATAGAAAGAGAAGAGAAAGAGGGCATGTGCACTGTGGCATAACTGGTTGGACTGCCGCCTGCGATGCTCGCGTCCCATATGGGTTCTGGTTCTAGACCTGACTGCTGCACTTTTTTTTTTTTTATTTGACAGGTAGAGTTATAGACAGAGAGACAGAGATAAAGGTCCTCCTTCCATTGGTTAACTCCCCAAATGGCCGCTTTAGGCAGCGCTGTGCCTATCCAAAGCCAGGAGCCAGGTGCTTCTTCCTGGTCTCCCATGTGGGTGCAGGGGCCCAAGCACTTGGGCCATCCTCCACTGCACTCCCGGGCCACAGCAGAGAGCGAGCTGGACTGGAAGAGGGGCTACCAGGACTAGAACCCGGCGCCCATATGGGATGCCTGCGCTGCAGGCGGAGGATTAACCAAGTGAGCCATGGCGCCGGCAACGCTGCGCTTCAGATACAGTTTTCTACTAATGTGCCCGGTAAAACAGCAGACAATGGCCTAAGTGCTTGAGCCTCTGCATCCAGGTCAGAAGTTCCAGACTTCTGGCTTCAACCTGGCCAGCCCTGGTTGTTTTGACCATTTAGGGAATGAACCAGTAGATGGGAGAGATATTCTCTCTCACTCTCTTCCACCCACACTCCCGTTCTGCCTTTCAAATACATTTAAAAAGAAGATGAAAGGAAGAAAAACAAAGCAAGACAGTGGAGAGGGAGCAGTAGAGTGTTCTGTGCTGTTAGGGGTCAAAGGGCTCCTTCCTGTTCAGGCTGCTGCTGTGAACCTGGGAAGTGTGCAAGGCTCTTTGATTCCAGTTCTTGCCAGTTACCAACCATGGCAAGCATTGGGAGAAGCTGCTGTCTCCTCTTTGTGTATGTGAGAACCCATTTGATTCTAGCTCTCAGCTTATTCAGCTACAGTCATTGGCACCATGCTTATTAAGCTTCTGTGAATACCACTTTCCACACACAACCTAATAAAAGTAATTACTGTTAATGAAAACAGGTTTTATTTTTTTAAGAAAGCTTTTATTTAATGAATCCAAATTTCAGAGGTACAGCTCTAGGAATATAGTGGTTCTTCCCCCCATCCCTGCCCTCCCACCCCCACTCCTGTCCCACCTCCCACTCCCTCTACCATCCCATTCTTCATTAAGATTTGTTTTTAATTAACTTTATACACAGAAGATCAACTCTGTACTAAGTAAAGATTTCAACAGTTTGCACCCACACAGACACACAAGTATAAAGTATTGTTTGAAGACAAGTTTTACAGTTAATTCTCATAGTACAACTAAGGCTATTATTTCTAAGGCTATTATTTCCCTATTCCATTTTGTGGACACAGCTTTTCATTTGCTAATAGCTTAGTCTCCTCTGCTCATTCACTTCACAGACTGCACATTAAAAACATGTCTTAATTACCTGGGTTACTAAATGTTCAGTGAACTTCCACAGTGTCCTGTGTGAGTATATTTTAGAGTACATGGGAAGTTACACTAAAAGATTATTTTGGTATAAAAAACTTTTTGAAATTCATTTGTAGTTTTTTATAGTAGGCATTTTCCACAAAATTGAGGATTCATATGCATGGATTTCATATCATAATGTTGATGTTTCAGTATGATCTTATTTATTGAGTGATGGTGATAGGTTTTTGTTGA